CTCTTCCTATTTAACTTGATGGTCTGCTGCTTTCTCTATACCCAAAAAGATACCAGAATCATCCAAACTTTCAAATTACCCTGACTTTCAGAAAAAAAGAAGTAAACAGCAATCTAGGAATGCTGTTAACCTCTTCACTCCAAATTATGGAAAAATTTAAAGGAAGCAACATCCATCCTTGCTCTGACCATTTTACAACTGCGAATCAAAAAAAAAACAACCCAAATGATAAGCTGCTGCAATTCTTTGTGTTCGCATTTAAAAATCATACTTTAATCACACCAAATCATACTTTAATCACACCAAATCTAAAGCTGAAAAAAGAACTTATAGACAGCTCCCATGATGCATATATACAACAAAAGAAAAAGTGCTTTCCATACCCTCTGTAACAGGAATAAATGACAAGCTCACACAGTCACAGCACAGCCTTGCCTATGGCACTCCACACTGTATGCAGGAGGGCCTTTGCAAAAGACAGGTGGGACAGGTAGCAAATAGGACTTGCTGAGGTCCAACATGGGTGAGGTTAAGCTAGATGTGTCATCAGAAACATCACAGCAAACATGAAAGGCAGTATCATTAACAGAAGTCCATCTGCCTCTTCCAGGAGTTCATCATGCCTTCAAATTTTTCAGAGCATGTTTTTAATAGAAACAGAACTAGAGGCAACATTCCAGCACTGGTCTTACTAAGCCATTTCCAAGCACCCTCTTACCTCTCCTCCACCTCTATTAGGCAGCACCAGCCCTTCTTGAACTGCCCTGCGCTTGAATTCCCTATGGCTACAGGAGCTTCCTCACAAACCCCAAGCCCTCCCACAGTCACAGATTTAGAAGATAAAAGATCTTACATTCTGTATGCACATGCAGCATTCCTTCTTCCTCAACACATGCAGGCAAACTGCATTTTAACAGACTCGTATTACCATGATCCCAAACATGCTTTTAATTTCATCCTTTCTTCATCAACCCAGCAATCACTGAACCATCTACTGTTTGCTATAACTGCTTTTACATTTACACACAATTGACTAAAATAGCAAAAAGCATCACACCTGACACAAACACGGGGGAAAGTCTCCACAAGCTCACATCCATTGACAGTGGCCTCGAGCCATTACTTCTGAGTCCTGGCAGCTCACCAGGTCTTTATGCATTTTATTGTTACTGTAGAGGCCTATTTTTTTAAATTAATTTTAGTTGAGTAACAGTAAATCAAGGACCTAATCAAATTTAAAAGTTAGCCATACAGAGAGTGTACTTTCAGTCTGACAGCCAAGACACAAAAACAAAACAAGCAATACACTGCTTCAGGTTAACTGTTTCCTTTTGGCAAGAAGGTAAGTAATACAAAACTGGTCTAGCAGTAAAGTAAGTGACGTAATCTTAATTGAAGGCAGCATAATTACCTCCACACGAGTGCAACACTAAAACCGCCTACTGGACAATTTCTATAGCTTACACATTACATGAAAGAAAGATTATGATTTTTAGTATGAGCTTTTAGGCATGATCACTTTTAAAAGAAGACAAAACCACAAGGTGAGAGATTCAGTTCAGATGGTGTTATGGTAAAGCCAAGTACTGAAATGCTATCCATAATGACTTAGTACAGTGCAAGTTGAACACACAGGTAATAGAATTTTTAAAACATGCTCGGCTTGAAAACATAGGAGACTTATAAATAAGCTTTTAGTATCTGAGAAGCTTTAAGATGTTGCTGACCCCAAGTAATCACCTCTCTGCCAGGGTGAGCAGCCTGTAAAAAAGGGCAAGAAGAAGGGGTACATTCTGCTCCCATGACCCCATTCCCAGACTACACATAGCGCAAGCTGCCCAAAAAGAGGTGTCAGTTAAGGTGATGGAGGCAAACTGAGGGTGCAGGTATTGCTGGGCCTTCTGTACAGCCTGCAGTCTGAGGGGTGGGGAAAAAGCGACCAGCTGGCAGCATCTTAAACCGCAGCATCTAAGGCTTCCAGAGCACATCTGTCAGAGCCATTCGTGAATAAATTTGAGCATAAGAGTTTGTAGAATTGAGAACTTTGTATGTAAAGATTACAATGAAAACACAATAGATAAAAGCACAAAAAGCTACAAAGGCTGATTGATAATGTAAATGTGAGAGGGAATTATCACAGGTAAACTTAACCTTTTCTTCATTTACACCATACAGCACAGCCAGAGAGAAAACAACTGAAACTTTGAAATCTACTACATTTCCAACCCAATCTGTTTCCCCACTATAAAAAACAGTTCACATAACATAAAAGGTTATTTTGTTCCATTACTTTATTTTATTTTAATGGAAATTCATGAGGATAAATTTGGCTTTCTGGCTAGAGGCAACTAACTACAGGCAGTGTAACCCCATCTTTTATTTTGTTGTCTTACTTAAGAATAGAAATAACAGCATTAGTAGGTGACAACAAACTTGTGTACAAAATGGCGTGCTTCCCTCTGCCCTCTGGATTTTAACTTCCCAATACCATTCTCAACGTTAACCTACTATTAACCTTTGCTTTTTCCCTCTCTCACACCTACCCTTTCTGGCGTGACTTTTCCACATAAGCTTCTGCTTTCATAACAGTCTTTCCCCATTTATTCACTTTACCAGCTCAGCATCTATTCCTGGATTTCTGTGTCACCCTCCCATCCTTCTTTACACTTGCTATTGGGCTTACGCTGGCTAATTCATTATACCATGTCTTTCCAATTCCAACTTGATTTTGATCATAAAACACACTGGATGAAGGATGATGCCAAAACCAATCACAGCACATGAATAAACAGTATTTTGCTGATGTATCAATTATCATATTTAACACTACAAAAAGTCCTGGGACACAACAAACTGCATTGTATAAACCTCTTCATTGTACCACTACAATAGGTGGTTACAGAGGCAAAATCAAACTTAAAAATGTTTGCCCTTGCTGCTAAAAAAATATGCAGAAGAAATAGGAAAAAAAAGGGATTAGCACTGTCCATGTCAAGAATGCCTGGAGTAAGTGTTTAATCAAGCCACTGAATCAGAGGGGTATCTATGCACAGCTAGTGATACAAAAGCACCTGGGGTGCTTTGACATTTTCCCATGACCTTCAAACATAATTCTGATGAAGAAAAATGTATCAGGAATCATAAGGCTGCTGCTGAAAATCTGGGGATGTTAAAATTGCATTAATGCAAGTGCTTTTTCTTCTTCTGTGTGACTATCTAAGTTTGTCATTACATGAAACAGTTCCTTCCTAAATGGCAAACACCAGTTTTTCGGCAACACTCTTTCCTTCCCATCATCTTTCCAAAGAAAAAATACTCTTATTGTGTCAGAAAAAACTTCAAGACAAAACCAGGTTATTAAAGAGCCACAGTATACATTGATTTTTTCATCTCTACCAATACCACCATGATGTTTATGTTGCACATAATGCTGCAATGATGTATGAGCTCATCAGCTTGGTAACTAAAAACAGTTTCACTGTGCCTGTGATTGATAAACTATGGAAGTATTAAAACATTTAAAATGTTAATCTTTGTAATAATCTCCTGAAAAGTTTTTATATTAATTTAAACCATCGATCATTTTAATATTTAATCATTGCAGACTTCATTTGAAATGAGGATAGCCATTCACTGAAAAGCACTTCATTTTTTAGTTTAAAAAATGATCAGCTAGTATATAATCACATTTTTTTCTTCAATAAAAAGTAAACCTGCAAGCAAATGAAAAAATCTACAGGAGCAGAAATCTTAAAGCAGAGTTTGTGTCAGAGGACTTTTGCAGTCTTGTTTTCCAGAAGTAACTGTACTACAACAGTAGTATCATAAGGGAGTCGGAGCATTGAGGGAGACTTCAACTGTAAACTGTTAGCTTCAACCAAAATTGTTAGCTTCTTTGTCTACACCTCAGAACCATATATGTTCCATTCTAATCTTTACCTACCTCATAACACGCAAACATAACAATTTACTTATGAAGCACAGTACTTAATAGAGCAACTTGAGTCTCCAAGATGATATTAAACTTGGGGTTTCAGAGGTCTGTTTTTTTTTAACATACAGCCCAGTTTTATAACATTAGCCTTTAGCAACCCATAAAGACTTTCCAAATTATCCTACTTTTTTGTAATTCACACCTTGTCTTCCTAATGAAAAATCTAGATTAATATGGAAATATCCCAAAGGAAAACAAAACCAGGAACTTCCTAGTTGTGAGAAAAAATCCAACAGAAACTCTTAACATTCCAACTGCGACAAACTGTAATTAGTTTTAAAAATCTGTCAAAAGAAACTGAATACCATCAAAATTATGTAAGAAACAAAAACTAATTACTGGTCTCAAGAAACAAATTTCACAATAAATCCAAGGAAAATGTCTTCATTGCACTGAAAAAAAAAACCAAACAAACAAAAAAACAAAAACAAAAAAAAAACAAACTACAAGAAACAAAAAATGAAAAACAAAGCAACAACAAGAAGAAAAAAACCTATCAAACAGAAACACACAAACCAAAACCCTCATACAATTTTCTACGTAGACTCCCTAAAATTTTATGTTTCCTACTTCCCTGAAGTACACTGAGCTTAAGTCATCCTTGAAGACTGGGCTACAAGGTTGGGCTTAAGTATTTTAATAAAATCCTAGATATACACTGGGCAGTATCACAGGTTAATGTATTAGTTTATATTATTAGTCCTCATTCTGTATTTGTGACTTATAGGTGAGTTACAAGATTTTCCAGTACCTGGTGTAAAACTGGCACACAAACTAGCTTCCTTTCCTGAAGCGGCTGCAGAAAGTGACAGCAAGAGCTATGAAGTTAGGGGAACTGGCAAACGTCACATGGAATCTTCCAATGCATACAAACCTTCTCTGTATAGTCCAAGGTTATGAAAATAAAATAGTAATTTAAAAAAAACACTCCAACAAACCAGAAATAAACACACTGCCTTTATTCTTGATTTTTATAGTGATAAGTACGTATCTTGTTGCATATTACCTTTTGCTGATGTCTGTTTTTATGGACAAAATCCTGTTCATTCAATGTGAAGATACTCAGTAACTGAATTCAGGAACTCAGCTGCTTGCATCTGAAATGGAAGGGATAGCCCTGGTTTTATGGAACTTGATAGAAATATATATGTATGTTTAACGTATATTGATACAAGAATCAATACTGATACAAGAATCAAAGTAAATTATAAGAGGAGTTTTGCCAGTGCTAACAGAAATCTGGTTAAATCACTTCATTTTAAACAATTTTTCAAAACCTAGATATTTGAAGAGCTGTCACATCTGTGCTGAAACTGAGTATCTTCTGTACTGCTTTTGCAAACACAAAATACTATTTTAGACAAAGTCAGTTGTAAAACATTATTGTAAACTCTACATGGTTAAAAACAAATCCAAGTCACAAAATTACAGGACTGATGGTGTTGGAAAGGACCTCCTGAGGTCATCTATTGGGCTCAAACCTGCTCAAACAGGCTCAGCTAGAAGAATATACATACGTTACAGAATGGTAAGTTATAAATTACAAAAGAAATTACATATTGAAGCAAAAATAACAGAAAATGTGAGCAACTGCCCTTTCTGTGGAAAGAAAAAAAAAGGCAACTATTTGTACTGGTGTGATAAATTTATTTCCAAGTTAACACTTGTCTGTTTTCACTATGCTCACGCTTACAGTACTGACCTGAAGTAGGCTTACATCTTCACAGCTTCCGTGAAGACAGATATCAAGTCCTAGAAGGGTAGATAGCACTAATTCATGATCAAAGATAACCATGCCAACAGAAACAGCTGGTAATTTTTTCCTCAGTGAGCAGACAAGCTATTTTCTGAACAACAGTGGCTGTCCCTAACCCATTTTGTACCAAGAGGTGAAGTGATTCAGCCAAGGAAGACATGCCAAACAGCACTACTTAAGAAATTGATCAATTTTCCCCATATTTCTAGATTTCTGTGTGTTCCTTAAGCAGACTTTCTACAATTTTCCACTACAGAAATCATACATCTGTAGCAAAGGCTGGGAGAGTCAACATGTCTTTAGAAACAGGCACCCTTCCATTCTGATTAGCTCTTTAGGAACCAGCCCGGTACCCAGAAGCAAAGAACTCAAGCCCTATGTGATATATAACCGAATTACTGTGTGTGAATGTGTGTGCATACAGCCCAATTATACCAACGCTCTTTTACAGGGGCTTTCTGGTACTGTGTTCTGCTCTCGTAACTATGTAGGCTGATGTAAGGCAGAGCACTTTGAGAGCGACACAAATCCACATTGGCAGACATTTCTGCCAACATTTCACATTTAGAGAAGTCGTGGCTCCCGTGTCTCTATCCAGGATTTTCTGAACGTAAGCATGACCAGTGCACTCTGCACAGAACACAAAGAAGTCCCATGTACCCGGAACACATCACACCCGAGAGGTGAACACAGGCACCTCAAAAAGCCCAGGTTGTATCAGATTTACTGCATACCCAGAGCCAGCTGTCACACACTGCACATGTGGCATCTCCAACACGCCCTGGCCTCACTGCACTAGGGTGGTCAGCCCATGTGTACACGCACACACAGAGAGCAGCCGCTAATCCAGCTCCCAGACACACAGGAACCCGACACAAACGGGCTTCACACATATATATACACACCCAACCGCACTGCACTGGTGGGCAGTACATGGAAGGGTTGAGCCCATGAGGGAAAGCCATAGGCTGTCCCCACAAAGAAGCACCGCAGGCTCCTGTCAACCCAGCAACTCCCGAAACAGGCCTCGACCCCAGCCCTCACACGGGACACCCCCTGCTGACGGGTTTATTTCCCTCCAGATTGGCCAGTCACACCCTGCGGAGGGACCCAGCTGGCACCACCTGCGCGCACCTTGGGGGCTGACCACACGGCCGAGAAGCGCCCGGACCGGCGTAGGCCGTGGAACCAGCCCCGGCTCCGATGGGAGCCGCCCCTCCCCGCCTCCCGGGCACGGCGCACGCCGCCGGGGAAAAGGGGAGGGGATTCTGCCCGCCCGCACCCAACATGGCCGCGCCAGACGCGGCCGCTGACCCCCCCCGACCCCTCAGCCCTCATTCCGAGGGCGGCACCCGGGCGCCCGCAGCGCCGCCCCGATTGGCAGCGTGCTCCGGCCAATCGCGGAGGCGAGCGCTTTCTGCCGGCCAATGGCAGCGGCGGCCCGCGCGGACAGCGGCTCGGCCGCACGCGCTGGCCGCTCCCTGCCCGCAAGCCAACGGCGCTGCCGGAGCAGCGGCGGGTAGCGCGCCCCCACCGCCCCGGGAGGGAAGCGGTTGCCGTGACAACCGCAGACCCGGCAGTGCTGCCGGCCCTGGCGCCCGCGGCCCCTCGCCCACCCCGGGAAGCGCGCGGTACCTCGGGCCGAGCGGCACAGCTCCGCCTCCTGCCTCCTCTCGCGGCTGGGCGACTTCCTGTGCTGGCGGGGCTGCCACCGCCTCCCGCCCGAGCGTCCCCGCCTCCCGGCCCCGCCCGCCCTGGCGGGCATCAGCTGCAGGGGCTGGGGCGCTGGGGCCATGGCCGCGGGTGGGTTGGAGAAGGTCCCAGGGCGGCAGCGGCCTCGAAGTCGCAGGGCCTGCCCGCAGGAGGACTCCCACCCACCTGTCTCGCTCGGTGTCCCGGGAGAGATGCTTTGGTGGAGGCTGGAAGTTCAGTGGTGGAGTATTCTAGCATCTTCCCTTCATACCCTTTTCTCAGTTTTTACCACTCTTTTGCCAACATGTATTAGAATTGGTGTTCCAGACATGTGGGATGAAAAGCAATTAGTCACCTTCACATCATCACTATCACAAGCCCCATTCAGTGGGAACTTCATAGAATCATTGAATTGAAAGGTTTGGGTTGTAAAGGACCTTAAGATACCTAATTCCAGCCCCTCTGCCATGTGCAGGGACACCTTCCACTAAACCAGGTTGACCAGGGCCCTGTCCAGCCTGCCCTTGAACACTGCCAGGGATGGGGTATCCACAGATTCCTTGGGCAGCCTGTTCTGTGTCTCACCACCTTCACAGTAAAGAACTTCTTCCTTATATCTAACCTGAATCTCCCGTTTGAACCCATTGTCCCTTGTCTTATTGCTACAGTTGCTGATGAAGAGGCTCTCTTCAGCATCCCTGTAGGCCCCCTTCAGATACTGGAAGGCTGCTATGAGGTCTCCACGCAGCCTTCTCTTCTCCAGGCTGAACAGCCCCAACTTTCTCAGCCTGTCTTCATATGGGAGGTGCTCCAGTCCCCTGATCATCCTCGTGGCCCTCCTCTGGACTTTCTCCAACAGTTCGATGTCCTTGTGTTGAGGACACTGGAACTGTACACAGTCCTCCAAACAGGGGTCTTATGAGAGCAGAGGGGCAGGATCACCTCCTTCAACCAGCTGGACACACTCCTTTTGATGCAGCCCAGAATACGGTTAAGCTGAATATTTAAGGTCCTAAAAAAGTATCAAATAGGAAATGCCAGGTAATTTTTCACCACCTTGAGATGATGATAGGTCCTTTGCAACAGATAATCCATTTACTTCGGTGCAAGAAGTAAGCCACCAATTCTTGTAGCAGTTTACTGATTAGTATTGCAAACACATGCTTTGCTTCCTGCAAAATGGCAGTCAATAACCAAGTTTAACACTCTTGTAGGGAAAGGTACACAAAAAAATATTTGCATTTGTTTACCTCTGCAGCTTCGGAAGTGAAACCCATACCCAGCTGAACTTTCCTATCTTTCTAGGTGACACGCATACAGAGTGGAGAATGCGCCTACAGAAGAGTTGATAATCTGAGTTTTCTGTGTGGCGTGCATACCAGACTGCAGTTTTCTCTAGTTGTTTCTCTAGCAAGCTTAACGGATGGCTGAAATGAAACAGCTTGCTTAGGAATACAGCCTGTCCTGATCCTGAGTGATGAGATACAAAGGTTTTTTTTTGTACCTTTTCTGCCAATAAATCGCACACTAAGGTTATTTAGCTGCTTTGAACATGGCAGCTCACTGGACAAAGCCGCATGTACCCAGGGTACCTTGTCCCATGTGGGACAGGGATTGTCGTATCCACTGTGGGCTCCACCTCTGTTTTTTCTAGCTTCTACATGTTCAGAATTTTCAACAGTATTTTATTTCATTCATACTCCTAGTGGTAAGCCAGGTCCTTGATTATTTTAATATGATTCAGTTAAAACCAAGTCATGATTATGCTCATAGATGTTTGAATATAGTGTTATGTGCAAAACAGCAATCATTCAAATAGCTGCTACACATGATTTTTGACTGTGTAATCACAACCACAATAAATAAATATGAATGAATATCAAAATCACATGGCTACATGATATTGTGTTATCTGAACCACTGCTGAGGAGTTTGTCCTTGTGAGTCCTTGAAGCAAAATACATCTAGTTTTAGTTCAGTTTCACTTAATTTCACCTAATTACACTAATCATTTCATCACCAAGTTATTCCTTTAAGTAACAAGCTTGTGTATGCCCAGCAGCTTCCATGCCAAATCCATAAAGAAGTCATAAGGAATTACGACTTCATGAAAAGGAGCTTTACAACCACTGAGAAATTTTCACTCTTTAATTTCTTCATTTCTCGTCCTCATTTTGTGGGAAAAATGTGTGTTTCCCATTGTGAGGTTTCTTCTGCAGAGAAGGCATGCATACTGGTGGAATGGTCAGAAGGGTGGTTGACATTTATGTAATAGAAAGTACTACTGACCAGCTTGCTGTGTTCTGTAGGATAAGAAGCAGTCTGGGAGTGTATGTGTCACAGGATATTTATAAGCTGTCTGTTACAGGTATGAATCCACAAGGGATATGATTGCTAAGTATGTAACTATAACTGAAATGTACATAATCAGGAATATTTTATTGATCTTGTCACACTCATCAGTTGGGTGCCATATCCCTTGAGCAGATGAATTTAAAAATCCAAAAGTGTTTTCTAAACTAACGTGGTTTTAGCTCACATAATTTTCAAGAGACGTATCAGCCTTTGTTTTCAGTGACTGTCTTTTCCTGGTTTTGTCCTGTTTTTCGTTTCTTCACAGGATCTTCAACTTATGCTGACAATTTGACAAGAATCTGCCCCTTTTTGCCCTTCTTCTCTGCACTGGTTTTCAACTTTACAATTTGTGAAAAAAATTTTAATTGAAATTAAGCCTGCTGAACACATAGGCTTTCTTTTCTTTTTTATCTTTTGCAGAGCTCCTAGAAGCAATCCCTGAGCTTTTAGAGTTAAGTAGATAAAAGGCTGGAAAATGATGCTCAACATCTTTGTTCCAAGTTGACAACACAGGTTTACATAGAGAAGAATAACTCCCCAAAATGCAACAGCTTGTCTGCTGTGTCACCTGATGTCTCCTCGTGTATGTCTAACCACCAGGTTAAGCTCAAAGATGTGAAAGAATTTTCTTAATTATTTTTGTTCCATTCATTTTGCCATCACTATAAATAAGAGTTTTGACCCATCTCTCATTCAGAACTGCAGACTGAGTGTTGCAAATAAAACAGCTATTTAATTTGGGCTGCTATTCAGGCAGTCATTGAATCTTTTGGGTAACACCTTACTCCCAAACTTCTATGAAGTACAGTATTCCCCATCCAACCACAATGCTAAAACTCTCTTATGCTTCTGTCACTTCCTAACGTAATTTCTGGTGGCTTTAACAGATACAGTCTTGCACTGCTCATATCCAACCAGAACTGCTGCTGAAACAAATAACCCCCTTAGCTCATCCCTTTGTTCATGTCATTCCTCACTTTGCATCACTCCAGCATCTCCCATCTCTGCACCGGTTCTGTATGCACTTTGCCTTCATTTTGAGATTCTTTATTCCTATCCTGGTTTGTTTTCACTTAGCTTTAATATGTTACTTCTTGTCTCTGACTAACCTACGATACTAGTTTCCACTGCCTTTTTCTTCATGTTTGGTTTTGATGTCTTTTAACAAACCCTGTTTTGGCTTCCCCATGTAACAGTTGCTCTTGAATCCATCCAAAAGACAGCTACTGCAGCATAGCTACTGTAGCTTCATGCTTCTGGTGTGCTGCATCTACTGCTGTCTTGCTTCTCCCATATTTACTGTCAGTTCATGTCTTGTCTTACATTTCAGTTGCAATTTCTTTAGCACAGGTACCTTCCCCTTGCTCTTTGCTTACTTAGTATTTAGGAGCACTAAAGTTCCTAAAACTTCTTCAGCACAGCCCATGGCAGAGCAGCCCCAGATGACTGTCCTCTTTGTGTCCAGCCTTCCAGCTGAAAATCTCAACATGGTGTTAGCGATGATAAATGGTGCATTTTGTGACACAGACAGCGTGCCATTAAGACAAGCTCATTTCACTGAAGAACCATCTGATGGTAATGACTTTCAGATGCAGACTGACCTAGGCTGGCTCAAATCAGAGTGCTGGAGGTGAAAGGCTCCATATTCCATTACCAGGACTCTGAGCCATCAAGTCTGCTCCATCCCACCACTACTTAATCTGTATTGATATATTTGGTAGCATTTTCCTAGCTGCTATCAGCCATATAGATGTCTGCCGTCATTTTGTTGATACAGTCAATCAATACTACATTAAATGTTACCTTCAGTTTAGCCTTGTCTAAAGTAGATGTGGTATTTTCATTATTTATACAACTATGCCATTAAATTATGCATTCCAGATTAAAAGAATAAAAGAGTTGTTTACATTATTATTATTGCTCTGGCATCAACTTTTGGATTTCTGTGTAAAGAAATTAATCGCCTATCGGAGGGGGAAATGGGGACTGACAAGCACTAGCTCCTGTTGCCTCTGGGACATAATTATGCTTGCAAATACAAAACCAGAGAAGTTGTAAGCTTAACACAGTAGACACTCTTGAAAGTTTCATCTCAGCATGAAGCTATGTTTTAATTATTATTTTTGTCTGCGTTGTTCAGATTGACAGTGCACCAACTAGAGTAAGTGCTTATCCTAGTTAATTCTTCATGAGGCTTATGTCACTGGAAGATGCATTTAATTTATTTCCTTTTTCTTTTCTTAAGCCAGCACTGACTAAGTGGTTATCTGTAAACATTCAACAAAGGTTTTACTACTTTAAGGCCAGATCCAAAAACTGTTGAGTCAATTGGAAACTTCAAAGGTTTTTAGAACAGGCCCTATTACAAGACAGAGGTAAGTTGAGATTTGTGTAGGAACCTTGCAGAATAAGAACACTTCCTTATTTACATTCTACAATATTAGCAGGTTTCCTATATGGTAATGACTATCTGTTCTTACGAACTGAATTTGGACATTCAGACATCCCCACACACCTCAATAATAATGTTATATACATATGTTCATGTCCCAATTCCAGCTGAAGATTAACAATATTATAATATATGATGTTTTTTTCTAAGATGGTCTATGTAATGCATACAGTCCTTACACTTGAACAGCTGTCATCTGTGTTGTGGGAGAAGATTCTCATATTTACTGATTTAATTGGGTAATTAC